AAAAATTCCCCAAAAACAATCTCAAAAATTCCCTGTAAAATTCCCAAAAAATCCCAAAAAAATCCCATTAAAATCCCTAACAATACAATTTTTTGTAATATTCCCAAAATTTCCCAAATTCCAAAAATTATCAAAACTCCCCCCAAAAATCCCAAAAAATTAAAAAAAATCCCCAAAAATTCTCTTCAAAATCCCCCCAAAAAACCCCAAAAAATTCCATTAAAATCCCTAAAAATATAATTTTTTTTTAAATTCCCAAAATGTCCCAAATTTGCCCAAAATTTGGGAATTCTCACCTGGAAGTGGTTGCTGAGCCCTTTGTTCACCGTCAGCTTCACCCCCTCCATCTGCACCGGGAACAGCTCTGGGAATTTGGGGAAAAATTGGGAAAATTGGGGGAATTTTGAGAAAAATTTGGGAATTTGAGAGAAAATTGGGGATTTTTTTGGAACAAAATTTGGATTTTTGGGCGATTTTAGGGGGGAAATTGGGAATTTTGGGAGGAAATTTGGGAGGAAAAATTGGGAATTTGTGAGAAAAAAGGCGATTTTTGGGGAAATTGGGGAATTTGGGGGAAAATTGGGCATTTTGGGGGAATTTTGGGAGGAAATTTGGGAGGAAAAATTGGGAATTTGTGAGAAAAAAGGGGATTTTTGGGGGAAATTTGGGGATTTTTGGGAATATTTGGGAAAAATTGGGGAATTTGGGGGGTTTTAAGGCTTTTTGGGAGGGAAAATTTGGGATTTTTGGGGACAAAATTTGGATTTTGGGGGGATTTTGGGGGGAAAACTGGGAATTTTGGGAGGGAAAATTGGGAATTTTGGGGAATTTGGGAGAAAAAATGGGATTTTGGTGGGGAAATTTTGAGGGATTTTGGTGGAAATGGGAATTTTGGGAATTTTTTGGGAATTTAGGGGGATTTTGAGGCTTTTTGGGAGGGAAAATTGGGATTTTGGGGACAAAATTTGGATTGTTGGGGGATTTTAGGGGGAAAATTGGGAATTTTAGAGGAAATTTGGGGGAATTTTGGGGAAAAGTTGGGAATTTGGGGCAATTTTATGGCATTTTTGGGAGGGAAAATTGGGGATTTTTGGGACAAAATTTGGATTTTGGGGGGAAAATTGGGAATTTTGGGAGGGAAAATTGGGAATTTGGGGAATTTTTGGGGAATTTTGGGAGGGCAAATTGGGAATTTGGGAGAAAAATGGGATTTTTGGGGGGAAATTTTGAGGCATTTTTGGGGAAAACTTGGGAATTTTTGGGGCAAATTTGGGAATTTGGGGGGATTTTAAGGTTTTTTGGGAGGGAAAATTGGGGACTTGGAGGGAAATTGGGAATTTCGCAGATTTTGGGCTGATTTTTGGGAATTTTGGGCTCATTTTGGGGCTGATTTTTCTGGATTTTGGGCTGATTTTTGGGCTGATTTTGTGCAGATTTTTCTGATTTTTGGGCTGATCTTTGGGAATTTTGAGCTCATTTTTGGGCCAATTTTTGGGCTGATTTTGGTGATTTTTGGGCCGATTTTTCTGGATTTTGTCCTGATTTTTGGGCCAATTTTTGGGCTGATTTTTGAGCTGATTTTTATGCAGATTTTTCTGGATTTTGGGCCCATTTTTGGGCTGATTTTGGAGCCGATTTTGGTGATTTTTGGGCTGATTGTTTTGCTGATTTTTCTGGATTTCGGGCTCATTTTTGGGCCGATTTTGGTGATTTTTGGGCTGATTTTTCTGGATTTTGGGCTGATGTTTCTGAATTTTGGGCTCATTTTTGGGCTGATTTTTGGGCCCATTTTGGTGCTGATTTTGGGGCTGATTTTTCTCAATTTTGGGCTGATTTTGGGGCTGATTTTGGTGATTTTTGTGCTGATTTTTGGGCCCATTTTGGTGCTGATTTTTCTGGATTTTGGGCTCATTTTGGGTCTGATTTTTGTGCTGATTTATGGGAAATTTGGACTGAATTTTGGGCTGATTTTTCTGGATATTGAGCTCTTTTTTGCACCAATTTTGGTGATTTTGGGGCCGATTTTTGGGCTGATTTTTCTGGATTTTGGGCTGATTTTTGCGCTGATTTTTCTCAATTTTGGGCTGATTTTGGGGCTGATTTTAGGCCCAATATTGGGGATTTTTGTGCTGATTTTTGCTGAGATTTTTCTGGATTTTGGGCTCATTTTTGGGCCAATTTCAGGTGATTTTTGAGCCGATTTTGGGGCTGATTTTTCTCAATTTTGGGCTGATTTTGGGGCTGATTTTTGGGCCGATTTTGGTGATTTTTGGGCCGATCTTTGGGCCAATCTTTGGTGAATTTGGAGCTGATTTTTGGGCTGATTTTTCTAGATTTTGAACTCATTTTTGGGCCGATTTTGGTGACTTTTGGGAATTTTGGCCTGATTTTTGGGCCGATTTTGGGGCTGATTTCTGTGCTAATTTTTCTGGATTTTGGGCTCATTTTTGGGCTGATTTTTCTGAATTTTGGGCTGATTTTTGGGAATTTTGGGCTGTTTTTCGGGCTGAATCTGGTGATTTTTGGGCCGATTTTTGGGCCGATTTCAGGTGATTTTTGTGCAGATTTTTGGGCTGATTTTTCTGGATTTTGGGCCGATTTTTGGGCTGGGGAGGGGGCGACCCTGCGGCCCAGACGTTGCCCATGCTGGGGGAGGGGCTGCGAACAAAAAAAAAAATTAAATTTTTAAAAAATTTCCACCCCGGAATCCCCAAATTTCACCCCAAAAGCGATTCCCGCCAAATCGCCGCCTTCTCCCGCCAAATCCCCGCGCCAACCCACCCCCCACAAGGAGCTCGCCCCGCCCCCTCCTCGACCCCGCTGGGGGGACCCCAAAAAGTCCCAAAATCGCCCAAAATCGCCCCAAAATCGCCGCCGCCCCTCCCCCCCCACGCCGAACTCACGCGGTGGCGGCCGGAGAGCGCCGAGCTCGAAGCCACGCCCACCCCGCGCTCCCATTGGCCAGCGCTTCCCGCCCCCGCGCGCCGATTGGTCGATCCCGGCTTAATCCCGCCCTCGCTCGCTTCTCATTGGCCGCCGCCTCACGGTTGAGTTCCCGTCCCGCCTTCAGGGGTCAGGGGCGGTGTGGGCCACGCCCCTTTCGTGACGTTTTTCTGTGTGATTGGTGCGTTCACTGGTTGGCCCCGCCTACGGAGCGCTCCTATTGGTCGAGGCGGCGCGGGGCGCGCGCGACCATAGAGGCGCCAAGGGCGAGCGGGGCGGAGCGGCCATCTTGGGGCGCCGCCATCTTGGGGCGGGCGGCGCTGGAGGACCGTCGCCATGGCAACGGAGAAAGGGCGGGAAGGACGCTGCGATCGGCGCTGTCGCGACAGGCGTGACGTCATTTCCGCCCCGTCGCGGGCCCTTGGCGACGATTCGTTCCGATTTGTGACGTCACCACGCGGGTGACGCCATTGCGGAGACGCGTTGAGATGACGTCATGCGTATGCCGTGACGTCGTCGCCCCCCGCGAGTTTTCTTCATTTCTGGGGATTTTTTGGGGGATTTTTGAAAACATTTTGAGGTTTTTTATGAGGAGTTTTTGGGGAAATTTTGGGGATTTTTGGGGGATTGTTTTTTTTGAGGATTTTTGGGGGAGTTTTTGGGGAATTTTGGGGATTTTTTGGGGATTTTTGGGGGATTTTGCGTATGCCGTGACGTCGTCGCCCCCCGCGAGTTTTCTTCATTTCTGGGGATTTTTTGGGGGATTTTTGAAAATATTTTGGGGTTTTTTATGAGGAGTTTTTGGGGAAATTTTGGGGATTTTTTGGGGATTTTTTTGAGGATTTTTGGGGAATTTTTGGGGATTTTTTTGGGGAGTTTTTTGAGATTTTTTGGCCATTTTGAGGGGGATGTTTTGTCATTTTTGGGGGATTTTTGGGGCTTTTTTTTAATATTTGCAGCTTTTTGAGGGAATTTTTGGGCGGTTTTTTGAGGAATTTTTTTTGATTTTTGGGCCATTTTTGGGGGATTTTTGGAGAAGTTTTTGGGCATTTTTAAGGATTTTTTAGGGATTTTTTGGACATTTTTTGGGGATTCTTGGGGGATTTTTTAGGGATTTTTTGAGGGATTTTTTGGCCATTTTTGGAGGATTTTTTAGGGATTTTTTGGCCATTTTTGGAGAATTTTTGGCCATTTTTTGAGGATTTTTTAGGGATTTTTTGGCCATTTTTGGAGAATTTTTGGCCATTTTTTGAGGATTTTTTAGGGATTTTTTGGCCATTTTTGGAGAATTTTTGGCCATTTTTTGAGGATTTTTTAGGGATTTTTTGGCCATTTTTGGAGAATTTTTGGCCATTTTTTGAGGATTTTTTAGGGATTTTTTGGCCATTTTTGGAGAATTTTTGGCCATTTTTTGAGGATTTTTTAGGGATTTTTTGGCCATTTTTGGAGAATTTTTGGCCATTTTTTGAGGATTTTTTAGGGATTTTTTGGCCATTTTTGGAGAATTTTTGGCCATTTTTTGAGGATTTTTTAGGGATTTTTTGGCCATTTTTGGAGAATTTTTGGCCATTTTTTGAGGATTTTTTAGGGATTTTTTGGCCATTTTTGGAGAATTTTTGGCCATTTTTTGAGGATTTTTTAGGGATTTTTTGGCCATTTTTGGAGAATTTTTGGCCATTTTTTGAGGATTTTTTAGGGATTTTTTGGCCATTTTTGGAGAATTTTTGGCCATTTTTTGAGGATTTTTTAGGGATTTTTTGGCCATTTTTGGAGAATTTTTGGCCATTTTTTGAGGATTTTTTAGGGATTTTTTGGCCATTTTTGGAGAATTTTTGGCCATTTTTTGAGGATTTTTTAGGGATTTTTTGGCCATTTTTGGAGAATTTTTGGCCATTTTTTGAGGATTTTTTAGGGATTTTTTGGCCATTTTTGGAGAATTTTTGGCCATTTTTTGAGGATTTTTTAGGGATTTTTTGGCCATTTTTGGAGAATTTTTGGCCATTTTTTGAGGATTTTTTAGGGATTTTTTGGCCATTTTTGGAGAATTTTTGGCCATTTTTTGAGGATTTTTTAGGGATTTTTTGGCCATTTTTGGAGAATTTTTGGCCATTTTTTGAGGATTTTTTAGGGATTTTTTGGCCATTTTTGGAGAATTTTTGGCCATTTTTTGAGGATTTTTTAGGGATTTTTTGGCCATTTTTGGAGAATTTTTGGCCATTTTTTGAGGATTTTTTAGGGATTTTTTGGCCATTTTTGGAGAATTTTTGGCCATTTTTTGAGGATTTTTTAGGGATTTTTTGGCCATTTTTGGAGAATTTTTGGCCATTTTTTGAGGATTTTTTAGGGATTTTTTGGCCATTTTTGGAGAATTTTTGGCCATTTTTTGAGGATTTTTTAGGGATTTTTTGGCCATTTTTGGAGAATTTTTGGCCATTTTTTGAGGATTTTTTAGGGATTTTTTGGCCATTTTTGGAGAATTTTTGGCCATTTTTTGAGGATTTTTTAGGGATTTTTTGGCCATTTTTGGAGAATTTTTGGCCATTTTTTGAGGATTTTTTAGGGATTTTTTGGCCATTTTTGGAGAATTTTTGGCCATTTTTTGAATCCCCGCGCCACCCCACCCCCCACAAGGAGCTCGCCCCGCCCCCTCCTCGACCCCGCTGGGGGGACCCCAAAAAGTCCCAAAATCGCCCAAAATCGCCCCAAAATCGCCGCCGCCCCTCCCCCCCCACGCCGAACTCACGCGGTGGCGGCCGGAGAGCGCCGAGCTCGAAGCCACGCCCACCCCGCGCTCCCATTGGCCAGCGCTTCCCGCCCCCGCGCGCCGATTGGTCGATCCCGGCTTAATCCCGCCCTCGCTCGCTTCTCATTGGCCGCCGCCTCACGGTTGAGTTCCCGTCCCGCCTTCAGGGGTCAGGGGCGGTGTGGGCCACGCCCCTTTCGTGACGTTTTGCTGTGTGATTGGTGTGTTCACTGGTTGGCCCCGCCCACGGAGCGCTCCTATTGGTCGAGGCGGCGCGGGGCGCGCGCGACCATAGAGGCGCCAAGGGCGAGCGGGGCGGAGCGGCCATCTTGGGGCGCCGCCATCTTGGGGCGGGCGGCGCTGGAGGACCGTCGCCATGGCAACGGAGAAAGGGCGGGAAGGACGCTGCGATCGGCGCTGTCGCGACAGGCGTGACGTCATTTCCGCCCCGTCGCGGGCCCTTGGCGACGATTCGTTCCGATTTGTGACGTCACCACGCGGGTGACGCCATTGCGGAGACGCGTTGAGATGACGTCATGCGTATGCCGTGACGTCGTCGCCCCCCGCAAATTTTCTTCATTTCTGGGGATTTTTTGGGGGATTTTTGAAAACATTTTGAGGTTTTTTATGAGGAGTTTTTGGGGAAATTTTGGGGATTTTTGGGGGATTGTTTTTTTTGAGGATTTTTGGGGGAGTTTTTGGGGAATTTTGGGGATTTTTTGGGGATTTTTGGGAGATTTTTTGGCCATTTTGAGGGGGATGTTTTGTCATTTTTTGGGGATTTTTGGGGCTTTTTTTAAATTTTGCAGCTTTTTGAGGGAATTTTTGGGCGGTTTTTTGAGGAATTTTTTTTATTTTTGGGCCATTTTTGGGGGATTTTTGGAGAAGTTTTTGGGCATTTTTAAGGATTTTTTAGGGATTTTTTGGACATTTTTTGGGGATTCTTGGGGGATTTTTTAGGGATTTTTTGAGGGATTTTTTGGCCATTTTTGGAGGATTTTTTAGGGATTTTTTGGCCATTTTTGGAGAATTTTTGGCCATTTTTTGAGGATTTTTCGGCCTTTTTTGAGGATGGGTCAATGGGGTCAATGGAGTTGATGTTGGGGTCAGTGGGGTTGGGAGATTTGGGGTTGGGGTCAATGGGGTTGACCTTGGGGTCAATGAGTTTGAGGGTCTTGGGGGATTTGGGGTTGGGGGTCTTGGAAAGGTTGGGGTTGACCTTGGGGTCAATGGAATTGACCTTGGGGTCAATGGGGTTGAGGGTCTTGGGGGATTTGGGGTTGGAGGTCTTGGGGTCAATGGGGTCAACGGGGTTGGCCATGGGGTCAATGAACATTTTGGGGTCAATGCGGTCAATGGGGTTGTCCATGGGGTCAATGGGGTTGAAGATTTTGGGGTCAATGCGATCAATGGGGTTGGCCATGGGGTCAATGGGGTTGAAGGTGTTGGGGTCAATGAGGTTGAAGATTTTGGGGTCAACGGGGTTGGCCATGGGGTCAGTGAAGGTTTTGAGGTCAATGGGGTTGAAGGTTTTGGGGTCAATGGGGTTGAACATTTTGGGGTCAGTGGGGTCAATGGGGTTGGCCATGGGGTCAACGGGGTTGAAGGTTTTGGGGTCAATGGCGTTGAAGGTTTTGGGGTCAACGCGGTTGGCCACGGCGCCAACAGGGCCGACCACCTTGCCATCAACGCCATCCCCCACGGCGTCCCCACCGCCATCACCCCCAAACCTCCCGGCCCCGCCCCCTCGGCTGCCATTGGCCGCGCCCCCGCCGGGCGCGTCCCTGGTGAACTCGGCCACGAAGACGACGGAGCAGTGGCCGCAGGCCAGCAGCCAGATGGCGGCGCTGAGCGCCAGCACGCGGCCGGGCCGGCGCCGGCCCTGCAGGCGCAGCGGGAAGGCCACGCCCAGGTAGCGCCGCACGCTCAGCGCCGCCAGGAAGAGGCTGCTCAGGTACATGCTGGAGTAGAAGCAGAAGTTGGCCAGCGGGCACAGCGCCGCCGGCAGCGGCCACGCCATGCCCGCCGCCGCCTCCGCCATCTTGAAGGGCAGGAAGAGGAGGAGGAGGAGGTCGGCGGCGGTGAGGTTGAGCAGGAGCAGCTCGGCCGCCGTCAGCGCCGACGGGCGGCGCCGCGACTTGGCCGCCAGCACGGCCAGCGTGAAGACGTTGGCCGGGAAGCCGACGGTGAAGGTCACGATGTAGACGGCCAGCACCAGCGCCGACGACATGGCCGGCGGAGCGGGGAGCGGCCACCGGGGACGGGAGGTGCCGGAAGGTTCCGGAAGGTTCTGGAAGGTGCCCAGGTGGTCCAGGTGGGGTCACAGGTGGCCAAAGAGGGGTCACGGGTGGCCCAGAAAGTTCTGGAAGGTGCCCAGAAGGTCCCAGAAGGTTCTAGAAGGTGCCCAGGAGGTTCCAGAAGGTTCTAGAAGGTTCCCAGGTGGCCCAGAAGGTTCTAGAAGGTTCCCAGGTGGCCCAGGAGTGGCCCAGAAGGTTCTAGAAGGTTGCC